GCAATACTTTATAAAGAGTTTTTGAACCTTTTTTTCATATTGGACTTTGACTTCAAAATTAATTTAGGTACTGTTCAGCTAGGTGATGCCATCACATTCACGGGAAAAATAATATCCTTTTTAGTCAAACTTTTTTAATTCAATCCTATAAAAACAATCAATTTAATCACCGAATATCTCGACTACTTGTCTAAAACACCTATTTAACCTAATTATTAGTTAACTGAGTATCACGTTTTGTCAGGTAATTTTTATTTTAGAAGTTGTTTTACCCTGTGTTTGCAACTTGATCATATTGGCAGAAATACCTAAAGGAACGCCCTTTGTCCGGAGTCCATAGTATGCATTCTAATTTCCCGAGTCGGACCGTTGACTTGGTATATTCCCAGACGTATTCATTTAAATCGTATTAATAGTTAAACATTATTTTCCTTATTTTCTGTATTTTTATATTTATATTAATAGTGCACAACCTGTAATCTTTCAATTGGTTTGTACAGATTTTTCATGTTAAGAAAAAGCCACAAGTTTTTATCTATCCTTTATTTTTTTCCCAATTATATTTTAGTTGTTAACCCGTCAAGTCCTCCAGGGGAATAACCCAACTCCAGCGTGACTAGTTATGAAGTCGAGAGGAGAAGAGGGGTCTAGAGCAAAAAAAATTGCGCTTGCTGGATTAGCGTAGCCAAAATGGGAGGCCCTATTAAATGGGACGCTGCAGGGGAACAATGCGGGCAGTAGGCGTTGATTTGATGTCGATTGCAGCAATCACATTGCTTTTGCATAGCAAATGTAGTCGTATAGATACGGGCGAAAAAACTTGTTCACTGGAAGACTTTGCCTGCAACGCAAAACTTGGCTGTGGTCTTCCTTCGGAGGTCCGACCAATTTATACCATCTCAAATACAGAAGTGGGAAGTTGGAGTATACGGGACTATGGTACATTGAAAAGGGCGCCCTAAAGAGCACATGTTTCACTTGATAGAGTGGCTGGCTGGGTTGACGATACGACGCTATCACGCTAATAGACTGCAGGTCGTAGATAAAAAGAGTCTGGACTTTGCACATGCGGAACCTAAAGCAAACTTCTGATGCATATCAAGTAAGGGTGGTGTACAAATATGACGCGCGATGATGAAAACCACTCGTCTCGAGGCAAACAGGGCCACTGAAATATCACTGAATCCTGAATTCCTCCTGATTAAACGTGCTAGATTTGAATATAGGCTTTACTTGGTTGAAGAGTTCTTGATCGAATAGATCCAAAGATTGCTTCGATGCATTAGCGAGATTCGGTTAATGAGAAAACTGTGGATATTCACATGAGATCTTTGTGTAAAATGAGTGTGGGAGATAGCCGCGCTCCTGATGTAACTAAACTAACCGTTTTAATGGGAAATAGTAGAATTGTCACTGCAAATCTTATCCAAGCAATTATATTTATTAGTTATCCTTTGGGCCTCTGTATTACCAAGTCTGTTTGGGTTTATAAAATGAAATGAAATCTTTTTACGATAGCTTTACTGATTGTTTCCAAAAAATTCCTTAAATTATAGCCGCCTGCTGGCGTATCTTTAGGCTCTGGCCCGACTATCCAAGATCGCCGGCATGCTTCAATCTCTCCTCCGACCAACTCTAGTCGTCCACAGCTTTACAACCCTGCATTATCACCCTCGCGTCAGCCTGGTTCAACAGACTCTGAAATAGCTAGCTTCAACGTTAATGGCACCGTCGTAACGCTTTCTCAGGAGCAGGCGCGTCGGCAGGCTGAAAAAGCCGCTGCTGCGTTAGATGCTCGTGAACGAGCCCGTCGAAAGGCCGTAGCCCTAAGCCAAAATCCACGTCGACTCGGTACCTTATCGAATCAGCTGACAGGGAATCGGCGCACTATGCCCTCTCAAAATATTCCCAAATCACGTTCAAACTCTGCTTCATCATCCTCCTCCTCATCATCGTCTGGCTCTTCCTCTTCTTCCTCTTCTACATCTGGCTCGAGTTCCGCATCTGGATTCGGATCTGGCTCTGGATCTGGCTCGAGTTCAGATTCGGGCTCTCAAGCATCCTCACCCTCGCCTTCAAACTCTCCTGGCAAATCAGCTCGGGACAGGCGCGAGGCTAGAGTTCCCAACAAGGCTAATCGACTACTCTCACAGCAATCACAGCAGCAAAAGACTTTTCCTGGGGCTCGTGCTCCATCGAGTGGGAAATTCCGCCAGGATGAATTGAAGTATATACTACATTCTTTGTGCATTTAGCCTTCATCTATGTGTTCTGTACTTTTTATATATTTTATTATTTTGAGTAATGAAAATTGATTTGAATCCTTAACTTTTATTAGCTTTATATATTTTACTATGCCTATTATTTGAATTGAAATTTGAAATCCTGCCCTCTATCAGTATTCTTACTATTCTTACTGATTCTGTTATTATTTTAAAGCAGAGATGAACAGCAAGACCACTGTTCGTTTGGAATTATGTCTCGCAAACGAAGTCACGCTAACGCCGACGACTTCACTGCCACTACTGCTCCTCTGGCCACTGATAGACATAAACGTCCCAGAGTTCTGCCTCTTCCTCCTGGACATAGTTCCCACCATCGTGACATACAAGATGACTCTTCAGAGCCTCAGCTTTTACCACCTGGTGCAGCGGCTCGGCGGGAAGAGGAGCGCCGTTTGCGTCAACGAGAACAGCAGCACATGATGATGATGTCTGGGCAACTAGAACGGCCGCGATCTCGTGGCCGCGAAACAATAGGTGATCGCGATCGGGGTCGGCTTCGTCAGCCTACAGGCCCTGCATCATGTGATATGTCCGGCCCTGGAGATAAACATATTGCTAGAATGGGTTCCGGTCTCCGTGATAAAGGTTTGTATTTGTCACACTTCGGGATTTAGCATAGATACTTCTGTATTATCCTACATTCATTCCTTGATCTGTCTAGTTTGTACGCACCAAAAATTTGTATCTCATTTCCATGACTGAAAATGATATTACGCATGAAATTTCTGCCTACATATTTTATCTACTATTGAAAAAAAATCAAATGACCTTGATTTGATCCTGTTTTTTTGACTCATTCGTGTGGTGATTTTAAGAATGTACACGATTCATTTGCTTCTATAGAATCGGACACTTGGCTGAGTACATTTCGAGACGTGTTGTAAACTTCGTAGTCGGCATCTTAAGTGAACAAAATTAAATCCATGTTGTGAAGCCGACTGAGATTATGTGTTCCACCCGTAGTAGTTGATAAAAACCTACAAAAAAGCTTGCGATCGATCACTTTTATATTCCTCATTTAATCATTGTAATTATCTTTTATTTGCCATTCAAAAGCCTTTCCTTGTTCTACTATTCACAATTTGTTCCTGATTTTTTTGAGTATCGATTTTCTTAATTTGTGTAAGCAATGAACGGAGTTTTATCTGATCTTAATTCCTTCTTATCTTTTGAGGGCATCAAATTTCCATGATATGTTTTCTTATGTTTTGGATGTCTGAGGCTTGTATTTTGGTTTATTTTTACTTGGTGCTATGCCCCACCACTGCATTGTGTTATATTATTACCGACCTTTCCACGTCCATGATCCTACAGCCACCGGTTTTCTCTTATTATCTAAATAATTATTCTTTAAATTTCTTCAATTCACTTTTGTTAAAAGTCGTTGATATATTGAACATCAAATTGATTTACCTTATCTAGGTTTTTATCGTGCGTTGGTATGCTCGCGCTGATATTCTCTTTCATTATCAGCGACCATATCTTCCTGGCCAGTTAGCGAGTGGCTAGATATATTAACGTTTGTGCATCTGTTCCCTAATTTACTTTCATTGTCACAATCCTACCATCTGCTCACCACGACCAATTTATTTGATTGAATACTCACTCCTGTTATTCTTCGCTGAATTCCTCATCTGCTAGTCTTTAGACTTTTCACACAATTAACTGCTTACTTGAACTATCAATTCAATTTATAGCTTTATCCATTCCGATATTCAATATATCGTTATGATGGGACTAGAAATTGCCGTAATTCAACTTGTGAGTTTTTTCTATCATGCAAAGCTTCTCATTTTAAAACTAAAGTTTAGCCTGTCTTATATTTGCTTTAAGGACGGGGGTATAGATGTCTGCCTCTAAAGCTCCACTTCGCGGGTGAGCAATTGATTTAAACGGCTTTCAAACCCAGCCTATTGTGTGAATAAAAAAAAATTACTCCAGAGTCAGGCTTCTAATTCATTGTAATTTCCTAAACTCGCGTTATATTAAAAATATCACTTGGTTTCTTTTATTCATGAGACTACTGGACTTAATAAATCTACACTGGAATTTTTAGCAACGTTGTTAACATTGACCTAGATTATCATTATTATTTCCTATTATTATGTTACATAACTCTACCCATTCCATCTATTCATCTACAGAATGGATCGCACCTATTAATCGTGATCGCTCCTCTCGCGGTCCTCCTTGTGCCGATCTGGTAATACGCACGCCGCATGGCCTACCGGTTGCGGATGGCGCTTACAGTCAACGCCGATCTCCGCACGGCAGGACTGCATTCATAGGTAACATCTCTCCGGGTGCTGGACCAGCGTCTACCAGACCACTCGATCCCGATCGAGATCGCGATCGAAAAAGGGATCGTGGAGGACCGTCACCCTGGTTTGAACGTGATTCAAGACAACGGCATCCCCCAGAGTCGGATCGCTCGGGAACTGTATGGTCTGAGATGTCGCAGCGCACCTCTGGAAGACACTTGAGCTCCGGAATCGAGACCGGCGAACATAGCCAAGCACGCAGAGACCGAATGTGCCGTGAGCCAGAATTGAGTCGAGCTCGAGACCGCGATCGGGATCCCCGCTCAGATTGGCGAGGAACTGGGTCGGACAGATACACACATGAGCTTGAGATCTTAGAGGCACGCAGGGCTGGCCATAAGGTATTTACTGAAACGGATATCGCCGATGAAGAGGATGAAGAGCTGGCTCGACGTCGAAGAGACCGGGCTCGAAGCAGAACACGTGGACCTCGTGGCGATACGGTAGAGCCTTTTGGCGAATCTACCAGCCTGGCTACAGAAAAACGTTTAAACGAGCTACGCCAACGATTGAATATGGTGGATGATGCGATAGCTGAAATTCGGGCTGGCACTGAGGATGGTAATTGATGTCCTATTCTGCTCACAAGACTGCGAATTTCTATCTGGCTTGCTTGAATTTTCATGGACTTATTTCTTTCCGGATAGACCAGTGCCGCAAAGTTCTTGACTTATAGTGAATCATATGATGTCTTGACAAGGGGTTAATGATTGAAGTTTCATTTATGTGCTGTATTCTCAAGAGTTTTCTTCACTCTTATTTTCATTTGTTCGGGTCTTGCTTAGCTCTT